TGGAAAACGTGCGAGTCTCGTTTGGTTCGTTGTGTTTTCTGTTTTGCTTCTCTACAACGGAATTTAAATTATAATTGTTTGCTGCGGATTTTTTTTTATGATATATTTTGATTTTTTTTTTCTTCTACCGTAGTAATAACTATCAGATTTTGTTTTTTTTTTTTTGGTGTTTGGTTGCCGAGAAAGCTGAGGAAAAGTTAAGATGAATGAACCTGTGCTTATTTTTTAATTTAAATTTATATATTTATTTTATTGCTATGTGGATATGGTAATCCAGAACTCCAAACTCCAGTACCATAATAATCTCAAACCTGAGTTGACTCTCTCTCTTTCTCTCTCGTTTGTTCGGTTCTCATATTTCGATCGTGGCTGGTTTACAGTATATTTGTGTACCCGAGATCGTACATTTGTTTGGATTAGACTTTCTTTTTTTTTTTTTAGCTCTCTTTAATCATGTGAAATTTCCTTTGTTGATTGAATTAGACCTTAATTTCAACTTTTATGCTCTTATTATAGGTTATAGTAGTTAGATTGACGACAGAATTGAGCCTCCAAATAATTGAGGGGATAAAAGGGTGTGTGTGAATATCATATGCTTTTGAGTTGAGACTCTTTGTTCCGTAAACTTGAATTTATCGACAGATTCTTTCTTTCTATGACATGCCTAGTTTTCTAGTTTCAACGAGAAAGTATATTTCAAAATTCGGCTTGAAGCAACTCTTAGCTGGCTTGAGAATTGGCTATTTTAGTTGGTTTTTTAATTTTTTACCAAAAAAAACAAAAAAACAAAAATCTAGAAAAGTTTATAAGATGATATGGTAATTTATAATGACTTTTTGACTTTTAAGTTAAAATGACATCCTCATAATGAAGAAAAACTATTCAATATTTTTAGAGTTTCACGTATTCATCCTCATTTACTAATCATCATATATTATACCTCCTCATGTTCCTCAATTACTAGACACAAAATCATAAATCTTACCTTCTCCATTCATCACAATATTTTGGAACACTGCATGGCCATGCTTCAGAAGCATCCGATAAACACTCCAAAATGAAAATTCCTTTTTCTTCCATACAAAACAATGACTTTTGTATTCACCCAAAAAAAACATGATAACTTTTGGATTTCTGTTTTAACAATATTTTCGCAATATATAGATGGATTTCCTGTTCAATTTTTGTAATGCAGTATGCATTCCCAAGTGCACGCATTTGTCAAATGGAAACTACTCCAATTAGTTGAGGAAATTGAGCAGGTTAAGAGGAAATTTCAGAAGTTTTGAAGTCTAATGTCTCCACCATTGTTAGGTGTTGAAGGGAAATATCGGGGTAATGACTCTGTAGTGGCTGCTTCAGCTTCTATGGACTGTATCTCCCAGAATGGCTCGGGATTAAAAGAACACAATTATCTAAGGTTGTCTGATTGTTCTTTGGAGGACAGCTCCAGAGTCTCAAGTGTGACAGAGGTTAATAAGGTTAATCTGAATCTGAAGGCTACAGAGTTATGACTTGGTTTACCCGGATCCCAATCCCCTGAACAAGATCCAGAACTTACTCAACTGGACTTCCGGGTAATTTGAGGAGAAGCCCTTGTTTCCTTTGCTTCCTTCAAAAGATGGAATTTGTGCACCATCTCAAAAGACTATTGTTTCAGGGAATAAAAGAGGTTTCTCTGACACCGTGGATAGAAGCTCAGAAATGAAAAGTTGTGTGTATACTGATGGGAAGTGGATGCTTCATGGAGCTGGGTCTGATTCTAGAACTTCACAATCTGTGGGACAAGGGAAATTTCCGGGCAATGTAGGAGTAAATGTGGTGGTGACATCTAGGCCATCCGGGGCTCAACGAAGTGTTACAAAGGAAGTGTCCTCAAGAGGGTTACAGGAACCGCCTCATGCTGCAAATGGAACTAGCCATAACGAAATAAAGGCTTCTAACAACATTAGCAGTACTGCCCTTGCTGCAAAGTAAGTGCAAAATCCACTAGAAAACGGAACTGTTCATGAGAAAAATAAAAATAAATGGATTAATTACACGAAGGGTCTTCAAATTATATCTTATGTTACACTTTAGTCTTCAATCTTTTTCTTGTTCCACTTTGGTCCTAAAAGTATCCGATCTGTTAAGTGTTGTTCAAAATCAGTAACAGGAGAAGGGCTATTTTTGGAATTTTACATAATGCCTTAACAAAATTAAATTGACCAAATACACACATGGTCTCAAAGTATGCATTATGTTGCTGATCAAAAAAAGAAAAAAGTACGCATTATCCTGCATTTTGGTTCCTAAAATATGCATTTTGTTTCATTTTAGTTTCCAAAATATGCACTTTTCTTGCATTTTCGTAATCAATCTTTTAATTTTGTTTCATTTTTTGGGGTAAAATTATGAAAATATCCATCCTCCCCCGTTCTTGATTTTGAATGGTGCGGCTGGTAGGGACTATAGTGTAACAAATCATATATTTTGGTGACCAAAGTGGAATACTCAAAAGATTGCGAATTAACAGGTTACAAAACACATACTTTGTGGACCATTTGTGTAATTGACCCAAAAGAAAACACACGGGGAGGGGGAGAAAGAAGAAGTATGACTAGTTTTACTGATCTTCCTTCCATTACAGTGCACAGGTAGTTGGTTGGCCTCCTATAAGATCATTTAGGAAGAATACACTGGCTACCACTTCAAAGAACAATGATGAAGTTGATGGGAAACCAGGTCCTGGTACGGTACTTTTTTTTGTCAAAGTCAGCATGGATGGTGCTCCTTATCTGAGAAAGGTAGATCTGAAGTTGTACTATACATATGAAGAACTTTCTTCTGCTCTAGAGAAGATGTTCGGCTGCTTCACCATAGGTGATCCTTTTTTTTTATAATTTCACATGGTTCATAATTAATGGTTGTTTGATTTCAATGATGCATTCTACTCTAATCTGTTTTGTAAGATTTAAGACTAGTATATTACGTTACTATGTTGGTGTGGATTCAGTTACTACTGTTTTATTGTAATTTCAGGTCAATGTGGTTCCCTTGGAGATCCGGGGAAGGACATGCTGAGTGAAAGCAAGTTGAGCGATCTTCTGCATGGGTCAGAAAATGTGCTAGCGTATGAGGATAAGGATGCTGACTGAATGCTTATGGGGGCTGTCCCTTGGGAGTAAGCTTCCTTCAATTCCATCTTTTTTATGACTTCATGCTTCTATTTATTGCGGGTTTTTTTATTGTGTAATTCCAAAAATAGATATCTGTAAAACTAAACTATTATCTTTATATCTAAAGGATGCCATTGACATATTGAATTAATCATATACCTAAGGAAACTTGTCTTCCCGTCTTCTGTCCTACTAGGAGATAATCTTGCTATTGTAGCATTGTTTTAATGGAAAAGGAAGTGAAAAAAATTAAAAATGGCCAAGTGAGTCATTTTAAGTACAACTCAAGACTGCAATATTGACTTTTGCGAATTGTTGAGTGACCATTGATGTGAATTTGAACTCCAAATATAGTTGTAGGAGAGGGTTCAAGAAAGGAGTTGGAAAATTCGAAGATCCTTGAAGAACAACTTCGAATTCTCTAGAAGAAATGTGAGAGGCTTAGATTCTTCAATGGTCTCAACTCAAGAACACGATCCGAATCCTTTCGAGTCCGAGTGCCTCGGATCTCTAGGCTTGCTTAATACCCTTTCGAGTCCGGGCCCGAGTAAGTCTCTAGGTTCGTGGATCCGAACCCTTTCGAGGCTTAGAGCGATTCAATCCGTTTGATGGCGATAAATCTGAGCCCACTGATTCTTGGACTTGCGATAAATTCGGGCCCACTAATCTTGGGCTATTGGGCCTAAATAATTTAGTGGGCTCAAATTAGCCCCTCTTACAATAGTATAAATGTTTAACTCTGAATGTAATTATAATATGTAATAAGTAATATTTGTTATTTATTTTTGACTTATCACTGCGGTACCTGAATCCCATTTCTGTCTTTGTGCTTCCTAGTTTTGCTCCAACAGAAATGCTTAAAAATAGTGAGTAAATGTCCTGGTTGATCTATATATATGCATGTTGGTTCGACATATTCAGTACTTTTTTGCATCTCTGAAATAAGCAAACAGAATTACTTGGCCTACCTTTGATTTTTGTGTTCATTAATGATGCATTTCCTTGTTTTTCGGTGATAATTTTCATCAAATGAACTGCACTGTTAGCTGAATTCCATTGAAATCTACATAATTATACATGCTAATATTGAGAAAAGAAGTCTGTTTTTCTTTGGTTTGGCTCGCAGGATGTTTATTGAATCATGCAAGAGGCTGAAAATCATGAAGAGCTCCAATGCTATTGCATTAGGTGCACATTTTTGGTTTGCAGATTTGTTTTGACACAAATATTCATTGACAAGTTGTTCTAGTGCTTGAACCAAAAAGAATTCTGTGTTTCAGTTAGACCAATTCCCATAGTGGCATGCTAATATATATATATATATATATATAAAGTAACCATATGATTAAAAAGTAAATCCGGGTACTTATAGCTGTCCTGGTTTGGTCCACAGCTCCCAGGGCCATGGAAAAATCCAAGAATGTGAACTAATAAGCTCTTGGGTGTGATGACTGATTTCCAGTTGCCTAGTCTGAATTGAGAGATTCCCAGATATTGAAGAAATCCGAGGAAGGTGTGCGGTTGACAATGATCCGGCTGAAATGCAGACCATGGTTTAAATGTTTTTGTCGGCATTTTGCTTGCATGGAAAAGAGTACATACTTATCTGTATATGATTCACTATAGGACCTTGTGATATTAAGAAGGTTACTGTTTGGTTGAGCTTTGTATTTGATGTATGTGGGGGAGGGAGAAAAAAACATAGTGGGGATTATGCTTGTGCGCCTATGTTTTGTTGACTGTCCTGTGATCCAATAATATGACTACTGATATCAGCCTAAGTTTTTGTATAATGACGTGTTCTTTGGATACTACAAAATGAACTACCCGAACGCACAATCAGAAAATAAATCTAATTTTTAATGAAAAATAAACAAACACTACTGTTATTAATTAAAAAACGAAACCAGTCAAACAGATTGTTCTTCCTTACAACAAAATTTAAAACCAAAAAATCTTTGCAGAAAGAAACTGGCAACACTCATGAAATGAATCTCCAAGCTTGATGCATGATTTCATCGTTCATAAAAGGTCGCAAGGACCACATCAAGCTATAGCTCTCCAGTTCTCTGGACGATGACTTGAGATTAAGAGAAGAAATGATCTTTTCCTGCAACGAAAGTGATGACTTTTTCAGATTCAAATAATTATACAAAAAAGAGAAGACATTAATGAACCTTCCAAATTAGACTGAACATATTATCAGAAGTTGCAAAAAACAAATTTAGCATATGATATAACACGAGGGAGGTTAGTTACCTGCATAATGTAGTCCAGCTTCACCATGCTGTATATAATACCCATCATGGCAGCATAATTGGTAACGTCAGGTTTTTGAAGCTCAGATGATACAATTTCTTCCTGAAGAAAAAAGAATTATAATATCATAATTCGAATTGGAAACCAATATCGAACAAGAGTTTCAAATCTCTCTGCAGGTCATGTTCGTGATTATTCACCCAAAAAGTCATGCTCGTGAGGAGAAACTCATGTCAGTTAAAAATTAATAATTTGGTGAATTTCAATCTAGACAAGCTTCTTCTTCTTCTTCTTCTTCTTCTTCTTCTTCTTATTTTATTTTATTTTTCAAAACCAAAATTTATGGAAACCACTTGGGATTTTATATTTAACCAAGAATTGGGCATGAAATTCACAAGGAAAAAAAATGGAAGAATATATATAATGGAAGAATCAATCCAAACAATTAAATCTTCAAAAATTGGGAACAATCATACTAGTGGAAACAAAAATCAGCTTGAAATTAACAACGGGAAAAAAAATGCATGAGACCATGCCACATCATGAAACTGTTTGTTAAATAACCTATTGAGTGACAATTTCTTTATAGTTTTGGTGTAACAATCCCAACCCATCTGAAATAAGTAGGGAAATTTAGCTATAAACCCATTTTACCTTCCTTTCATTGTTAAAAGGACTAAGAAAAAAATTATACTTTCTAAACCCCCTTATAATTATAAAATCTTACATAAATGACACAATTTATTATTTAAATATTTTATCAGACTATTATACCCCTCAACTAGATCTTTCCACCTTCTTCGTCCTCTCTCTCTCTATCTCTCTCTCAGTTTTCGCACAACCGTTGCAGAGACTGTCTTCCATGAAACCCTAAATTTTCGATTTCACAACTCTGCTCAGAAACCACAAATGAATAGCTATTGAATCGTCTCTACAATCTCCAGGTACAATCGATTCAATACCTATCTGGTTATGTTAAATTCACAAATCATTCGAATCTCTTCACATTTCGCGATTTTTGTTGATGTTTCTACATAAATTTGTCGACTCTCATCTTTAATTTTGTTGAAATTGGAATGAGGATGTCGTTGGAGATTCGAAAGCTAGGGTTTCGGAGCAGATGGGGGAGATTCGGAGTGCGGTGAAGATGGCTCAATTGGAAGCAGAGAAGAAACATGATGACATTATTGATGAGATGCTGGCGATGTTGAATGCGAAGGCTAAAACTTCGAGATTGAAAGAAGTTGAACAGGAGGTTGGGAAGGATGTGGATGAGGAACAGTAGAATATATGTATATATATATATATTTGTGTGTATGAGTGTTGTTGAACACATGTATTCTTTTCATTGAGATTTGTAATTGTTGATCGAATTTTAGAAGTTTTTCTTCTCAATTAAATTTTACTCTGGTTCTATTGCTCTGTTTTTTTCATTTGACAGAACCAGAGTAACTTTTGTGTAGAGTCTAACATTTTATTCATTTTTCAGAGTAAAATTTTACTTTTATACAGAGTAAAATTTTACTTTCATACAGAGTAAAATTTTACTTTTAGTTTCAGAATGTAAAATTTTACTTTTTCAGAAATATATAGTGAAGATGACTTAATAGGAGAGCTGATAGATATGAGAGTAATATAGTAAAAGAAACAAGTTTTAAAATATTATGGGGTCTTGAAAGTACTTATATAATTCTTATCTTTTTGAAAGATAAATTAGATAGTGAGGGAGCTATCACCAAATCCCCCAAATAAGTAAACAGAAAAAAGAATATGCACCGGGACTGAAAGATATAAAGAATGCAATACCTTATCATACATAGTTGCTTCTGGACCAAACTCATATTGTGTAACTTTGCCCTGCAAATGTGGTTTGCTTTCAGTTGCAACTTGCATTGCAACTGTTACTTCCTTGACAAGTCCTTCAAGTTCATCTACTAAGCACTTGGCTGCAATAAATGTAATCAAATTAAATAACCAACTTCAAGCCCTGAGGATAACATGATGCAGAAATTGCAGGAAAAAATATAATAAAAAAATTTTGAATCAACCAGGAAAATTGTATTAAATTCATAAACATAACAGAACATCAGCATCACAACCCCATGACAAACATGCATACAAAAAAGATCACCAAAATAAGCAAATATTGGCAGTTCTCACCACTAACTTGCATGATCCAAAATGTGGTAGACTTTCCACTCGATAATGTTAAATATGATGGGGAAAAAAAAAAGGAAAGAAAGTTACTCTACTCTACTATTTGTACTTTTTTCATGGCTATCCAAAAGTGGGAAAACAACAACGACAAGCGGCATATGAAGTTTCACTGCAAAGACAACGTTTTCTTAAACATCTACATTGGTTACGAAGAATTCTAATCTTGGATATGAAACAACAACAATTGCAATCTTAAAACAAAAATGAAACATCCAAAGCAGCCATAAAGTTCTATAAGTTCTAAATTTGCATAATAGATCAATATGGAACTTTAGCCGACCCCATTTGATGGGACTTAAGGCTTGTTTTGATTTGGTTTGGGTTGGTTATCAATATGGAACTTTTGTTCAGGTGGGTTGACAACTGATATGCATGATTTTCTAGACAGCTCATGAAAGTTATGGCATATTTAAGAAAGAGCAAGCCATATCACTAGAAATTCACTTTAATAATAAGCATACCAAGAATATTTTTACACATGAAATTTGGGAAAATTTATTATCAAAATATGGTGAAGACAAACTATACTTGGCAGGAACAATATTAGACATCATGAAAGCCACCCAGTGTAGATGGCAATCAATTCCACAAACATGAAAATTTGACATAACCGCAACTGCATCATTGATTTACACAACTTTAAGCACTAATCCACTATGATTTACGGAGAAAACATCAAGAAAGTAATAATAATTCAGGGATTGATTTTACCTTTATTTAAATGGTCGCGAAGTCCAACTTGGCATGTATGCACTTCTCTATGCAAATCCCAAAGTACAGGAAAAAAGAAAGGAAAAAAGAAAAAAGTAAGGCCAATAAATTTTGAGATAGCACATTAGCAATTTAGGAACTAAATTATACTTGTAAGTTGTATCTAAAAACACAATAGACCAATGAAATAACGGCAAGAAGAGAAAAATCCAGGTTTTCTAATAGCACCAACTGAACTTGATATGAATACACACTGTGCAGCGTAAGCTTGCGGCCGGAACTAACCAAGCAAAGAACTCAAAGCCTATAGATCCAAAAGAGACATGTGGAAACTGTGATAATCACATCATTACATCACTAGTAATGGAAGACGAAAAATTGAAGGCAGTGCTATATTACAAGTGGGAGAAACAAGCTTAGTATTGCAAGAATTCAGAGTGTTGGTGGCATCCCATTATGCAGTAAGGGCTATTAGTTTCAAGGAAGAGAGAGGTTTCGAGGGGGAAACATTTGGAATGTTTCTAGAAAAGTAATTAGCGAAAATAGCTTCATTGGAGAAGTCAAATAATCACTGCCCCTAAAGTACCCACCTTAATTCAAATGAGAGAATTATGCATGCACTTACAGTTGCTTATATTTTGTATGCTGTCATGAGCATTTATGCATCCAGATTCAACATATGTTAAAACCCTCCTGGTTTCATTAGCTTTAAAGATGCGCTCGATCAACTCAGATGTCTTGTTTATTGGCAGCCGGCAAAGAAACTCTATATGAAAACATGGGGACAGAGCTTACTAAAGGAGTGAAGAACCTCATCGCACTATCTGCAGAAAATAATTAATAGATTCCCAAAACCACTAACCTAGTCCTTGGTGAAAGCCAACAAGTAACCTACTTCCCACAGCAACCAACTCCTCAAATTTTGTGACCCTGTAATGGAAGGAACTATATTAGATGACAAATAAATAAATAAAAAATTCCACCATGGAAGATAAGATCATTTTGGTTTAAGAAAAACTATGATATAAATCACGATATAAAAGCATAAGGGATGTCAAGATTCGGTATGCACTGCCAAACTACTGAAACTTAGCTTTGACTCCAATTCTAACGAGGAAACAAGATATCTAAACTATGTAATGCCAAACTTGGGATGAACATGCATGACATGTTTCAATGGCCATTTGCCATCACATTAATATAGCAACAATGCATCTTTATATTGCTTCGTTTCTTCAAATAAACATTTGCAATGTTCTTCGAGAATGATAAAACTTCAAAAGATTTGTAACGTTATAGAGGTCCTTTCAAAATCCAAGTGATACGATTCTGAGTTGGACATGCCTATATGCTCTTTGTACAGCACTTCACAACAGATACGGCTCCTCTAATGGACATGCTAATTTTGCAAAATAAAGCCCGAGGTGTATTCTTCCACTTGAATGATAATTTACAATAATAGTAAAAAAACATTAGCATAGTGATGAAGGATTGAGACTCACCTTGACATGAAATCTGAAAAGATCTGGAAAATTTTCTCATTCAATTCAGATATCAATATGTGTTCTTCACTTTCCATTCTGCACAAACATCGAGAGGGAACACACCACATTAAGATTAAAACTTAGAAGTTTAAGGCCAAGCCCAGAAAGAAGAAAATATTACATATATGATGGCAGTATTATAATTTATAGCCCTGAACTGACCTTTCCAGAGATTTACATCACAGTTGTTCTAATGATTAAATTCATGAAACATAGAACACATCTACATACATTAATTCATAATGGAACTCGCCTTCACTAGGAAGCATATATACGGATACGAGATACAGATATGACACGATACGGATACAACGATATGACAAAACTTAAAAAAATAGGATACCGGTACGGCTAAGATACGTTTGTGAAGAATATATTTTTTAAAATTATTAATAGTGGGGTGACCATTAAAATTATTAATAGTGAGTTGCACATTGGTTCAATGGTAAAATCTTGGCCTAATAACCTTGAGGTTATGGGTTCAAGTCTCAGGGCAGCCACTTTGTGCACTCTGCCAAAGGTTAGGTGTGTACCCAATTTTTTCCCCTCCCAAACACACATTAATGTGTATTATTTGGGCATTGTTTTATATATTATATATTAATAGTGAGTTGCACATAAGCTAAAGAACGTTGAGAAACCACAATGTAATTTTATAATGCAAAATACTAACCTTTAAGAATTTTGTATTAATTTAAGCTAGTAGCTTGTTTACTTTTTAAATTTTTAATAGGTCTTGCAAATATTTCATTTCAATATCAAGTTTAATATATTTATTTTACAATAATAGAAAAATTCACAATTTGTCCCTATGCTTTTTCCTTTGACACTAGTGAAAAATACTGTATTCGAGTTTACTTGCTTATTTATTTATTTGATATTTAATTTTACCATTGTTATATTCTCTTGTTAAGTCTTACTTTTTATGTAGTTATAGGGGACATGCATGAAATAATTAGGATATATCAATTTGATAAATTCTATTATTTAACTCACTATGCTCTTCTTATCGAAGAACTTAACAAAGTATTAGAAAAATATTCTTATATTTATACTTGCAATTATATTATATTATATTATATTACTATGCAAGAAATGTTATAATTCTAATTTCATAAAACAAGTAAACATGACTTGGAGTATCTGATACTTTAAAATTAAGTATCTGATACTCCAAAATTAATGAAAAAATAATTAAGAAGTATCCGATACTTTTAATAAGTATTTGATACGTATCCGCGAGTATCCAAAGAGTATTGGTATCCGATACGGATACAATACGGATACGTCACCCTATTTGAAGTATCCGTGCTTCAAAACTCTAAGCCATACCAGTGTTTTAAAAAGCACGCTTAGGCGCGAGCCTAAGCACAAGGCGCAATGAGGCGCAGCCTTGCGCTTCGAACAGATCGAGGCGAGGCGCAGCTCAGGCGCTGAGGCGAGGGCTTTTTTTCGAGGCGCAAGGCGTGGGTTTCATGGGCTTTACCCATTTTTCTACTCCAATTGTTGATTAAGTGCTTTTTTTGTGGACATACCCACAGGGATTCAAAACTATTCAATATAAAATGACTAGATGTAGTCAAAAGAGAGCAAAAAGTGATAAAAGATTGAATGTTATACTTTATATCTTTTGTTGGATATTATATTTTTAATTTTTAGAAGATTGAATGTTCTGTTTAGAGATTATCGAAAATGGTTATGATTTTTTAAATATTATATATATATATATATATATTTTATGTTAAAAAATGTGCCTATTTTATAATTTTGCTTTTCTTCTACTACTGGAGTTTCGCTTTGGTGAGGCGCGCGCCGCGCCTCGCGCTTGGGCTATAGGAGACCTTATCGCCTCGGTGCGCCTAGAGCCTTTTAAAACACTGAGCCATACTTGTGAGAACTGAAAACAGAATAGCAACAGAGAAGCTAAGCATGAACTGATTCCTCACGTCTAATTGGCACCCAAAAATCGAAATTAGTTCAAAATTGCACTTTTGCTTTCAGTTTCATCAGAATTGAACATGGGTAGAATCATGGTTTCTTGGTTTAGTTGGAACAAATATTTGGTGTTAAGAATTGCATTTCTCAATAAAATTTCAAAGGACTGAACGGTGTTGGTGGCCGCGACCATGGCCAAGGCATAAACTTTCACCTCTTATCACCCTTTTTCATTTTTTCTATTTTCTCCGAAAAATAAATGTTGTTTTTTTGGATTAGTAATAGAAAATACATTGATTCAGATATTTTCTCTAAAAACAAAAAAAAGAAAAAAAGAAAAAAAAAGCCACATAACAAGGCTACCATAAGAGCATCTCCACACCTTCATCAACTTTTTCATCAAATTCAAATTTGATGGAAAATGACAAAGTGCACTCCTCCAACCATTTCATCAAATCTTCATCAAATCAAGGAAGAGGAAGAGGCAACTTTTTCACCAAATCAAGGATGAACCATATCCTTCACCAAATTCCCAACAATCAAATTTGTACTCAATTTGATAAAATTTTTAAAAGAACAAGGATTGGAGATGGTTTTCTTTCATTGAAAATGGTCAAAACGGGTTTTTATGATTAGTTTGCAATTTTTCAAAAATATTTGATGAAAAAATAACAGTAAGAGCATCTCCAATCCTTCACCTCTTCTTTCATCAAATTTAAATTTGATGAAAAAGTATTTGAATTTTTTTTAAAGTTCATTGTTCAAAAACTATCTCTAATCCTTTCATCAAATGTTCATCAAATCAAGGGAGACATCTTTTCATCAAATTAAGAACTCATCAAATTTAAATTTAGTGAAATTTTAAAAATATGAAGCATTGGAGATGATTTTTTTCCCCCATCAAATTGATGAAAATGGAAATTTGGGATGAGGAGGAAATTTTTAAAAAGATTTTGATAAAAATTTGATTAAAGGATTGGAGTAGTTCATATCAAATAAGACTTTTTACTCAAATTTGGAATCCAATTAGATGAAGAAAAATTGATGAAGGGTTGCAGATGTTCTAAGGATTGAAGTGTTCTATATCAGATAAAGCTTTTAACCAAATTTTCACTCAAATTTGATGGAAAAAAACAAAAAGATTTGGTTTTGGCAACCAAACAAATATACAACACCCAAAAACAATCAATAAGTTCCTCAACAAGAAGTTTGTCAAACTAGTTCAAAAAATAAAAATAAAAATAAAAAAAACTACATTCACCAAAATTCTACCAGGCTTCCAGCAAACAAATGCATTTCAACAAGCAGATATAAGCACAAAACCAGGTCACAAAGGCACATCCCTCAAAGACAAGACAAGAAGACAACAATCAATACATTACATATAAACCACAGAAAACCCATTAAAACAGATCAACTATATATACCAACCATTATAAAAGATCAACTATGTACAGTATTCGGTGGTGGGGTTTATGGGTGGGAAGGGAGCTTTCGCCAGGGAAAGAGTGGGAGACGGGGGTTTTCGGAGGTGGGTTTTGGGTGGGGAAAAAGAGGCGATTTGCACAGAGAGAGAGAGAGAGAGAGAGAGAGAGAGAGGCTCGTAGCTACCTGTGTGTGTTCAAGCTTGGAAACGTTGAAGATGTACTGTGCAAAATGTCTAGTCCTTTTTTGCCTAGTGTAGGTCAGTGTTCAGCTATTTTACCCTCCGTTTGGATGGAAAAGGTAAGAATGGAAGCGCCTCGTTTGTTTGGATGATTAAATATGGTAAGAAATGGTGAAAAATTACCAGCGATGATGAAAGACTTTGGCTCCGTTTAGTGGTGTGGTCGGAAACGTTTACGTTTTTAGTTTATATTTATAACATTTTTATAAATTAATTTTTATTTATTTTTTATTTATTTTTAGAAAAACATAAACTACAAGTGCGTTTGATAATTGACAAAATATTTAAAAAAATTTAAAAATATAAAAAAGAGTGAAAAATGGCAAGTGGCGGCGGAAGACGGTGGTGAAAAGTAGTGACGGTGGGTGGTGAGTAGCAGGTGGTGGCGGGTGGCTGGTGGTGGTGGATGGGTGGGTAACGGTGGCGGGTGGTGGGTGGTAGCGGGTAGGTGGTGGGTGGCAGATGGCGGGTGGGTGGTAGGTAGTGGTGGCGGGTGGGTGGTGGTGGTGGTGGTGGGTATGTGGCAGGTGGTGGTGGTTTGTGGGTGGGTGACGGTGGCGGGTGGTGGGTGGTAACGAGTGGGTGGTAGTGGTGGTGGGTGGTGGTGGCAGGTGGGTAGCGGATGGCGGATGGCGGGTGGTGGTGGGTGACAATGGTGGGTGGTAGCGTGTGGGTGGTGGTGGCGGATGGTGGTGGCAGGTGGGTGTGTGGCGGTGGGTGGTGGGTGGCAGACGGCTAGTGTGGTGGTGGTGGTGGTGTGGATTGAATGGTGGCAGTGGGTGGGGTGGTGGTGGCAGTAAGGTAGCAGGTGGTGTGGCGGACGTGTGGATGGTAAGGGCGGTGGTGGCCGTGGTGGTGGGTGGTGGTGGTGGCTGGTGGCGGTGCGAGAGGGTAGGTGGTGGCGAGTGATGTGGGTGTGTGGCAGTGGGATGGTGAAGTGGTGGTGGCAGGTGGTAGTGGTGGTGGTGGTGTTGGTGGTGGGGGGTGGGCGGTAGGGCGGTGGTGGCGAGAACAGTGGTGGGAAAATGGTGGGCGGGTGGTGATAGTGTGGGTGGTAAAAAAAAAAAAACTCAAAACTCAAAACGGAAACACATTTTTTTTGTGTTTTTATTTTTTGGCCAAATTTAATAAACTGAGATCACTAATTTATAATCAAAAATTTTACCAACAATTTTATTTGAGTTTTTAAAATTTTTGTAAATATAAAGAGAAAATTGAACGTAAGTGTAACAAACGGCATCTCAAAATATAGTTTCCTTATTGATTTAAGTGTGTTATTTGTTTAGAGTTTTTTAATCATAATTTTAATATTTCTCAAACTCAATTCCAAAACATAATCACTACTTTTTAAAACTCATAACCAAACATATATTCAAAACTCAATTTAAATCAATTATTTAATATTTTAAATATTTTAAAATATTTTAATTTTTGTTAGATTTTAAACATTTTAATATTTAAATATGTTATGATTTTTTTAATTTTTTGAATTTTTTAATATTTTAATTCAAATATTACGATTTTTTAATTTTGAAAATTTTAAAATATTTTGTAAAAAATAAATTCGAACTCTATTTTATAAAAATATTTTTTTAAATATTTTAATTTTTTGTTAAGTATTTGTTACTATTTAGTGTAGAGTTGTGAAAGTAGAATGGAGTTTAAAGTTATGTGTTTAGTTATATAGTTTTAAAAATAATTTATTAATTAAGTTTTGTTTTTATGTGTTTGGTTACGATTTGAGTGTAGAGTTGTTTTTAAATTAAAATATTAACATTTTAATTATTTAAATTTTTTGAATTTTAATTTTAAATTTTTACGATTAATTTTTGATTTTATACGATTTAAATTTTTTGAATATTTATTTTAATTTTTTACTTATTAAATTTTTTAGATTATTTAAATTATTTAAAGATTTATGATTTAAATTTTTTGAATATTTATTTTGAAAAAAAATTATTTCCTTTGTAGTATTTTCAATTAAAAAATTGACTAATGTTATTTTCTGTTAATAATAAATTTTTTTAATTGAATTTTAAAAAGAGTTTGGTTATGCGTGTTGATCAGAATTTTCAATAGTATAAAAGTAACGTATTTTGTTATGAGTTATAATAATTTGAATTAAGTTTTGAAAACTCTTTTCAAAACTCATAGCCAAACAAAATTTCTTACTTCACATGTCAAATCAAACTTTCAAAACTCAATTTCACAATTAATTCAAAACTCAATTCAACACTCTATTAAAAAAAGGATTTTTATTGATAAATCCATTCTAGAGTTGTTATAACCCATTAGGTCCACTAAAGAATATTATAACCTAATTAGTCCCATAAACTTTTCTGAATATTCCATAAGGTCCATTTTTCTAATTTAATATAATTTCTTGGACTATTTTGCCCCTGTATATATATATGTATAGTGTTAATACGTAAAATACGTAATAGGTGTCTGTTTCTTCGCTCATGCAGTTTGACAGTTTCTATTTTACGCTTTTCATCATCAATCCAATTCCGAGAGATACGTTTATGTTTTGCATGCTCGTTGCAAGGATTGGTTGTGCCAGGGTTTCATCCTTGCTGTTGGAGTCTGGTTCTGTGGTTTGCGAGTGAAGACGACGAAGAGGAGGGTGTTCGGTTGTTACATTTGCCGGATTATAACTAGTTCAAATCAGTTTTTTTCAACTTTCTGTACGATTGTAGGATTGCATGATCAAGGTTAGTATCAATTTGGTTATGAATACATGTTCAGTTTATGGTTTCATTCGTATAATGGATCAGATGCTCTGTTTTTGGATTTATATGGATTGAATGCTCTGTTTTTTCAATTATATGCATTTTACGTGGTTATGTGGAGGGGAGTTCATTCGTATTATGTGAAGATTGTGTAGTTCTCATTTGACTTCGATGCATGCGTAATGAGGCTCTGTGTGGATGATTTGATTATCAGTATATATATCAATGTGAATGTTAACATTTTGTTAATGTGGAATATGTGAATAATGTGGATGTTCTCATTTTAAATCGATGTTTGCTTAATGAGGCTCTGTGAAGATTGTTTAATTCAGAGTGTATGTGTCAATGTAAATGTTAACATCTTGTTTATATTATGTGAAGATTGTTGATGTTCTCATGTCATTGGACCTTTGATTGTTGCTTAATTGTTGACATCTTGTTACATAGTAATGGGAATGTTCACATCTTCATATTGTGAATTATGGATTACAGTTGAATGTACACGTAGTCATCTATTTTTTGCACAACAATGTGAAATTTTCATTCGAAATTTTCATTTACTGTTCATTGTTGTGTTTTTGGTTTTTACAGGAGATGGATACCTTTATGCTATTGGTGTGTACATAATGGTTGTAGTACAACTGTAATAAAGCTGATCCCGCACATGTGTTATTCTCGTTTTGTGGATGTTTGTGTGAGAAATGGGCATGAGTTTGTCTGCTTGTTTCATTTCATTGTTCTGTAAACTACCTGGGGATTAATAAGTGTCATTTGGACAATGAGGAAAGAATTTCAGAACATGGGTACTTGCTTGCTAAATTCAATGGGGGTACAACATGTAGAAGTTGTGGTTGAGTTGAAGGTGATATTGGTCAGTCAAGTAGTTTGGGATTGCCTGCGTGTGGGGGTTGAGGATTGAAAATTGATGCAACTACGGAGATTTTGCCACCATTTAAGAGAGGTGTTGTTGTCAGTCCCCTTGGGCAAAGGTATTACGCATGCAGGACACGGTTTGTTGGAGTGACAAGATTTTCGTGACGTTTTTATGTAAGTATGCCATCCAATGTGTGTTTAAGTTCACATACGTGAAGAAACGAGACAACCAAGAGTTACTGTGTTGTGTCGATGCGGGAGGAGAGGGGGTTGCTTGTTGGGCTATACCATTGTAGAGCACAACGAGCAAAATGATTTTTCTAATCAAGAGTTTTAGCTGATGTGATACTTTGTGGTTACGGATTGTCGAACATCGAAGAATCCGCGAGTTAGTTCGGATTTTGGTGTCGAGTACCAATCTAAATTGTGAGCGGACAAGCCGTTGACTCGGGCCGTGTGAAGTGGTGACTATTTTGAAGAGGGATTATGGGCTAGATGTGAGATTACCATGTCGCTATGGATTGGGTGGGAGAAAAGCAAAGGCTGCGTATCCATGGAGGGGGGGGTGATCACTCGTTATCGTTGACAGTTGCGGTGGTAATTCGATGCTGTTGATGCTAGTACAATCCGGGGAGTTTATGTCAATATTACTATGATGCGCAGTAGGTCAACAGTTTTGTCGCTTCTTTGTGTCATTCGCTGCTGTATTTCTAGGTTTCAATGCTTGTCGGCCTTTATTTTCCTGGCATGGAACATTCACTCAAAGCGAAAGTACAAAGGTCAGCTACTTGCCGGAGGCAACGGCGAAAGACGGGAACCAATGGTAGAAGTTTACTGGTCTATTCATGTCAATATTCGCTCTGAGAGCGTAGTCTGGAGAAAGAGTGATTGCTAAATTATAAGTATATGTGAACTTCAACATCAGTGACATTAGTATGCCACTGATGTGAATGTTCACATCTTTGTATGCTAATGACAGAAAATGTTAACATCAGACTGATGTGAATGTTCACATCAGACTTATTACAGACTGATGTGAATGTTCAACATCAGGTTATACTAATGTTAGTTAATCTATTTAATGAACAGTTACTGTGAATGTTAACATTTTCAGTGACTCAGACAGGTTATATACTAATGTTAGTTGATCTATTAATGAACAGTACTGTGAATGTTAACATTTTCAGTGACTTAACAATCACAATTGGAATTATAATGGTCGTTAATGTGAAGTTCACATCGTTATGTTACGAACCTGAATCCAAAAATAGCAATTAGTAAAGAGGGCAATGCTACATATGAACATCACATGACCTGTTTCGTTTATACTATTTTTCTATTCACATTGGAATATTGTGATACAGTTGTGTATTGGTGTTGTGTTGTAGCGTCTGTCCTATGCATTTTGCAAATCTGTTTGATTCGGAGACCACGGCTAATTGGTCGTGGATCTTGCATGAACTTGGAAGGTTGTTGATGGGAAGCGCCATTTACTTTATTTCGGATCGTTAATCCTTGGTCTGTGAAGCTATGCCAAAAGTGTTCCCATCGGCTCATCACGGTTATTGCTTACAACACTTGAAGATTCAATTTAAGAGGACCGCGATGAAAGGAATTGATAATGGATTCAGGGATCACCTAGTAAAGTAGTTGGTGACTGTGCCTACGAGCCAACTGTGTAGGGTTCCATGAAAAGCTTGCAAAATTAAAGAGAGGTAACAAGAGCCTCATAATTTTTTCAAGACTTAGCACCTGAGCACTGGGCAATTCATACTTCAGGTAATAATAGTTTCCTAAGGTGTTCCATTTTTGAAGTTTAGAATGGATAAGTGATGTGAATTCAGTTTATAATGGTGACAATCTTCGAATTGTGTTTCATCTTCAAGTAAATGATGTGATTTCACATCCTGCTAATTGATGACTGCATGTCATGTTCACATCTGTTAATTTGTCAAATAGTCATGCAATGTATTACAGATTTTGAATGTTGAACACGTGTCATATTTTGTTGTTGTTGTTAACCATTCAAATCTGTCTATCATTTTAAGTTGACAACGTAATAAGCTTATAATGTGAACATTCATATTATTTAAAACTGGTAGCCAATGAACATTCACATTTAATTATACCCTAATGTTGAAATGTTCACATCGGTGTTATACTAATGGCAGTACTGTGAACGTTCACATTTGTCAACATTAATGGTCAGGCCTTTAAATTCCGTATTGCTACAATGTTTGTTGATATATCTGGCAGGCATGCGATATGGGGAGATGACATCCAATGCGGCCGGAGTCATTTAATAACTGGATTAAAGAAGCCACGTAATCTTCCTATCACTCAAATGGTGGACAAAATTCGTACTCAGTTGAATGCGGCAAATGTCTGCACGCGGACAAAGCAAACAATGATGAGATTATTTGTCCGACATTTTCGAAACAAGGCTTATGGATTCGTTCTAATGACAGACAGTCTCTGGCAAGTTAGCAAAGCCAACGTGAGGATGTGTCTGAAGCTTTCATTCGATATACCGATCGGTTACAGTTTGATGTTGCGAGCGCGTCTGTTCACATGCGTGTCAAATGGCAAATCAACGGATTCCCGTGTACCATGTTTGATAATTGCCATTCAGAAGAGCCACTACATCTCAATGATTGTGTAGAACATACTTGCATGTAGAGACATACGTGCAGGCCTATCGGAGACCATATT